CTCGGCTCGGGTTGCAGCTAAATCTCGCTGCAGAGCTTTATTGTCCCTCATAATTCTCCCGTGAGCAACTTCAAGATTACGAATGTGGTTTGTGTTAGCATCCGAGTCTGCCTCAAGTTCCATAGTTTGTTGAAGGGTTGTCTCACCTAGCTCCACATTGCGAGCCACTCGGCGTATTAGGATTGGAAAAGCCCTGTCTGCAGGACCTCCTCCATCCAGATTGTAGAAGTTCTGGTTACTGTTGTATGGGAGGGGTTGGCCTTGCTTATGGCTCCACCTATTTAAGCTCCCGACCCACATGGGAGTTGGACCTTGGAATCCAACTTGAGGGTTAGGGTTTGGTATTGGGGTCACTTGGGGTAGGTTCTCGACTTCGGGTTCCGACTCAGTCTCTTCGGGAAATGGTTCGACAAAGCTATCGTCCAAACAAATTTCATGGTTTCCTTCTGGCTCTGGCTCGATCCATCCGCCATCTCCTTGGTTAGGAAAGTAGGGTCGCCAGGAAGATGGAATCCAGCCATGCTATCTACGCGCGGTGATGGTAAAGGAATAGTTAATAGGCATCGAATCTAATAATACTTCCAATGTATCATGGCTACATGCTTGATTGTTGAAGGATGGATCCTTGGGTAAGTTTTCGGCTTAGTCGTTATAACATCCTAAAATACTCCTATAGTATTTTAATCCTTATGTTTGGCTCTAGAACTCCTCTAGTATCTAGGTAAGTTTTAGACTTGCTGTAACACCATAGTCACTCCCAAGCACATGTTGGTCATGTCTCGAATGAATATATTTGATCAGGCTATATTGATCCTAGACATGATTAAATAACTGCCCAGGTTTAACCGCAGTGTCCAACACCCAAATACTTTTATTTTGTTCTACTTATGACACGAATTCTGGTACTCGGGTATACTTGTATACATTGCTATAAAAATACTTATATTTTTGAAAGTATACTTTTAGTTTAGAGCACTTAGGCCCCTTAATGTTTATAGTTGTCTACCATGTAAGGTTCGGTATACTTAGTTCACTATAAACAATAGCTCTGATACCAATTTGTCACACCCCAAAACCGGAACGGCGGAAATGTTTTGGGGCGTAGGACGTAATGCGTAGTATCACAACAATTGTATCATAGCAAGCATAGTAAACACAACCAGGCATTGAATACATATGTGAAAAAGGTTTACATTGTTTATTACATAGTTTAGTACATAGCAAAAGTACAATAGTAAAGATGTGACTTTAACGCTTCAACTTCTCCGAACTCCTGAAAGTACATGTCTACTAATACCCTGAGAATACAAGCAGTTTTGAAATAATATCAACATAAAGCTGGTGAGTTCATAAGCGTTTTAGTTCTGGTGAAAGAAATGTTTCTTTGATTCTTTTGAAAAGTGTTCCTCAAGAAAATCCTATATTTTCTTATGAAAGATGTTTGGTTATCCATTAGTTATTTGTTTAACAGCCTGTTTATGTAAGGTAGAGTTATCCCAAGAAAATCCTATATTTTCCTTAAAAGTTGATAGTTGGTTATCTGATCTTGTCTGAGGTGTACAAGTATCTACCATACTTGTATCGTTAGACGTAGTTTTCTTGAAAAAAACCCTGTTTGTTCCCTGTGAAGTGTATTAGCCTTATTACATAAATAAAACTTGTAAATAAGTGGTGAATTAAGTCCTAAGGGTATTTTTAACATCCTCTAGTAATCAATTTGGTTATTACTTTGAGGTTATTTCACTCGTTTCATTATTACAAAAGTAAATTTCCGCTATCTAGGTTGTGAGTGTCATAACCGTACTTAGACTGGATATGGCACGTAACGGGGCCAGTATCTTTTTATGACTTTGTCACCCCTGAACCTAACGGTCCCACTGTAGCTGGTAGCGAAGGTGCGGGATAGTCAGTCTCGTATAGATCTATACACAATAGTCACGCTCTCCCTACAAGAGATTCTGGTTACAAGGGGTAGTCCTACACTCGCGAATCCGGTGGAGTGTTACCAAGGACGTGTCTCAAACGTAGCCTAACAAATTTACAAGTAATAATATAGAAAATCCTGTTTATGTTTTGTATGAATTCTTTGTAAAATATCACATTTTATGACAAGATTCACAAGTTCCTTGCTTTAGTTTTGAAAACTGTTTCTACGAGTTGATTTTTTAATCGTTTGGTAAAACGGTTTTCTATGTTAAAAGCATGCTGAACATATGATTATTTTATGAAAAATAAGATAAATTGAGCACAAGTTTCCTCATACTTTTGCTTGTATTCTCCCCCTGAAAACATGAAAAACTTGGAAAAAGCGTAGGGGTATGAACTCACAGTTTGACGTAGGATCCGAGCGTATGATCGATGTGGATGCTGAGTGTCAACTGGTGTTTCGTACGCAAGTGGATCCTATTAACATATGGTAACACATATGTGTGTTAGAAATAGGGTGTTTCATGACTAAACATGACGGGAAACCACCCTAAAGACTTGGAAATGCTTGTCGGGACCCTATATGATCAAACAAGGGAGGTGTACGGCCAAAAGATTGTGTGTGCGGCCAAGGTGTGCGGTCAGCATGTGTGTGCGGTTGCACACAGGAGTGTGCGGCCGTACAGAGTGTATGTGCGGCCGTACACTCTTCATTCATGCTCAAAATGCCGATTTTCGGGTGTTTCAAGGCCAATACCAAGTCCAACTAGCAATTGAAGGCCAAACTCTCACCTTGGAGAGTGTTTAAGGTGTGTACGACCACCTTATGAAGGTGTGCGGCCGTACACCTTCAAGTGATGAAGAGCATGAAGAACATGAAGAGTTTTAAGCTTAGATCAAGGTGTTTTACCAGTATAACAAGGTGAATGATGGAGTGATTCACGTTTTTGAGGCCCTTAGAGTGTTCTTGGATGAAGGTTTTAGAGAGAGAAAGTAGTGTGTAGCCAAAAATGGAAAAAGAGTGAATGAGGGGTCTCCTCCTATATATGGAGGTGGGTGTACGGCTGGAGGATGGGTGTGCGGCCGCACACTCATGTGTACGGTCGTACACTCCTCCCGAGAGGGTGTATGGCCTGAATGTTGTACTATGACTTGGTATTACTCGACCTAGGACCCAAACTTTGATTGTACGAGGCTTAGAACGCTTTATCGAACCCTTAAATGGCGTTAAAAGGTGATAAAATCGAGTTTAATATTGATATAAAGATCAATTGTACAGGATAAAAGTTTCGGGTTGTCACAATATGTGATTAATATTCAGATTTGATAGACCTGAGTATATTGCTGGTTTTAGTGATATGGTGCTATTAAAAACCCGTTAGTAAGATTATGAGTAAATCTTATGCTTATGGATTTAGAAGGAACTATCGGTGTTATTTATCAAAATATTTTAAAGTTACCTATTATGATAGATTTAGCTAACAACTTACAAGTTAAGCTTATTATAGTTATATTATGAAATTTGATTATTACTATGACAAGTGGTCATAGTGTATACCTAATAGTGAGTGGAGATAGGTTCTAAGGAACTTATTATGTGATGACTAGGTGTTGCCATGTGACGAACTGATAGGCGACGAAGGATGGAAACCGAAAGTCATTTTTTATCAGCTAGTTTTTCAGCTATCAGTTAGCTTTTTATTTAACAGGTAACTTTTCAGCTAACAACTAGCTTTTCCGCTAGTACGCCAAACATAGCCTTAGAATATAGTTTTCTTTGTTGTTTTGTGTATTTATGCTTGTTGCCTCTTAATACGCTTCTAAAATCTCAAATTACTCGTTGCTTTTGGTTGTTGCCTCTTATTACACTTCCATCCATCACACTTGAGAATTAAGGCTCTAATTTGTTCAAATGATTGGTTTCAGAATTAAAGATAATTGTGTTTTTCAAAATTCTTTTGTTGAAAAGTTATACTTGGTGTTTAATTATCTTTAATATGTTTATACTTACGTTTATTCTATATATTGTAGGTAAAGAAGAGTTTTAGTTACATAAACTTACTTGAGATATTATGAAATTAGATTGCAAGGATCAATATGAATCGACGATGGAGACATAAAATTTGAATGAATTTTTTGGATATTATGTTATAAGTTTTAAGAAATTTACTACAAAAATGTCTTAAACCTTATTTAGCTATTTTGAACTAATCTTTATATGAGATTCTTATGTTTTAGGACATATTGATATGATTAACCATGAGTTTAAGTTGACAAATTGATATTTTTTGTTGTTAAGTTGTACTTGTCATTTATGTAGTTTTTAATTGGGTCGCGTTTATTTTAGCAAAAAAAAATGGCCTCATATGAAAAAAATTCTTCTTGTTTTTGGATTAAGCATGAATTAAGTTGACAAATGGAAAATTTATGTCATTTTTGTCGTGTTTTTATGTTTGTCGTTTGTGTTGTTTTTTAAATCGTTCGTGCTCGTGTTAGAAAAAAAAAAACACGATCTAGTCTCGTGTCGTGCTCAAAATATAAAAGAAATTCCATGTAATATCGTATCAGATAAAAACATGAATCGAATACCAACTTAACACCCTAACTAAACTTCCATGCTCTACATTTGAATCCTTGTCAACCCTTTGGTCTTCTAGAAACTCTAAGGAAAATTCAATGTGCGTTTTGTATATAAATCTATTTATAGTTCTTATGGACCTAACCATGTTGAATTCAATGAAATTGTTGATAAATTAAAATAAATAGTTGGTGTACAACGCCATGCATCTCGAAGCCATGACCCTCTTTATTGCAATTGCATATTATAACACGACCTACTGTTTTATTAGTCAATATTTACCCTTCTCGTGAAATAAATATATTATTATTATTCACGTTTTAAAGCATATGTTTTTAAACAATTTGATTATATCATTATATGACAAAATATCTGAGATTATTAATTAACTTTACATCCTCAAAACTCTTTTGTTTTCAAGGAACATCTCATTGAAAGATATTTACATCCAGTGAAATGAAGTAATGTAAGTAAACAAAATTGAGTTTATTTTTTTTCAAAATGGAAGCATTTTGCCCATTCCGTTGACATTTGAGAAGAACCCTACAAGACCTTGCCTGTAGGGTAGATACGATTTCCTCCTCACAACTTCATTTTCAGCTCTTCTTTGCACGTAAAACAATTCATGTACAGGAGTTTGCACCTTCAATCCGCCGCCAACTTTTGAAACCTCACCGGAGTTCCGTTTCTGTTTTGTAGCGTCCACCTTCTTACGAGTCAACAACACCACCGGTTCTTTCCCTTCGCTGTTGCTTCGCCGGAGCAAAGACCGGATGCTCCATCTCTTCGATCCAGATCCGGTAGAACTACTCTTCTTACATTTACTCACACGAGGTGGCGATCCACTGTCGGATTTAGGCCTCCACAGTACGCAGTATGCTTTAGAACGTGGACTTTCCAATTCGTCGGCTTCTGATGATGAACACCAAGAAGAGTCTTCTTGTTCATCTTCCTTCCCTTTAACCTGATCACGATCTTCGTCATCTTTCATCATTAAATTGTGATTGAAAACAGGAAAAACAGTCCAGCTTCGTGAAGCGTTCTCTTCCTTTGAAACATCCTCATCGCTTAAACCCACCGAAAACTCAAAGTCATCTTCGCTAAGATCCCCAAATTCTTGAAATCGAGCTGCATGTTCTTCACGGATCACTTTGGCGACTGCCATGGATGTTAAACTATCAGAAGAGTAACAACTGAAGCTAGGAGAGACTCCTGATCCTTCCATTTTCTCCTGTAGTTGCTAATGTGTCTCGCTGAAATATCCAGGAATCTTTTGGTTTTTTGTTTGCGATTGAAGTTGAACAGGTCGATGAGTGAGATGATGGAGAGTTTGGTAGCCGATCGAGGGTATTTATAGCAGGAGAATGTGATCGCTTTACTTGTCACCGAGCGCGTGATTTTTTTCTTTGTTTTCCTATTTAAAAATCATGAAATGGTATTCGATGTTGATTATTAAATTGGATAAATGAAATATGTAATTTGAAATTATTAAATTAGTGTAGAAGAGAGTTGACATTCTAGAAAAGTATACTCGGCAAATCCATGACTTGATACTTTGAGTTGTGTGGAAAGCAAGAAAATAAATGAAACGTGGAGACCGAGTTCGGATCACTTTCAATATTCCATATAAATCATCAATATGTAAAATCTTATTCAGATCACCCAAAATTTTTAAGCTGTTTTTTTTTTTTAATTTACCAATAATTAAAATTAGGAAGCAAATCACCATCAATTTTATTGAAGGTATTCGAGCCGGCGGGTTACCCTACGTCCCTATCAAATGTTCAAAACAACGACGTTTAGCCCTATTCGTAGGATAGTGTGCAAAATGGAATCCATGTACATGGTCGGTACAAGTGACATATTTTATGTTTTCTGTTCATTTTATGTGTTTGACGTGAAAATGATTATTGACGTGAAAACACATTAAAATGTTACGTTTGGCTTTAAATAGTCCATTAACTTTATTTTAAACCTTTACACCATCAAATTCGAAAATTACAAGTCGTTTACATTATTTTGTATCTTGTGAAGCGGTCTCCCGGTTATTATGATGACATGGACATTGACCTTTGACTTCAATCAATTCCACGTAGCCCTTCAGAATTTTTTATGTGATTGTTGGAATAATCGAGACTATGATCTTTGACTCCAATCTTCTTCATCTTCCTGCAAAGACAACAACAGCACCATCGATTCAAATCTTCATCATCTTCCGATGTTCTCCTGCCCGGAAATCGCCTTGGCTGTTGTGCAAAAGGGGGGGGGGGGGGGAGGGTCTTTTTCTGATTCTAATTCAGAACCATAAACAAATCCAAAATTGTCACTGAGCTCCACTCATGCGTCGTTGTTCCTTTGTTTGTTGACCTGCTTCGGGTGTTTTCCAATATATTGAATCCCCTTTTCGACATCCAATCTTTGAAACTACTCTCTATTTCCATGAATTCGTTGGCCGGTGAGATCCCCAAAAATGGGTTTGGTAATCTTATCAGACTTGTTCATCTTGACATGAGGCGAAACATTCTTCAACTCCAACATTTGGCTATGGTGATGAGATTTTCAAGGTTTTGGACACCACACCCCACCTACACCTACATATCGGAGGGGAAAAGAAGGGGAGTATTGTGAATGGCGGCGGCAGTCGGCTTTCGAAACCCTAATTTGACAATACTTGTTCTAACATTACTCTTGGTGACTTATACTGTCGTCATGTATGTCACTCGAGCTAGAATTGTTCCGATTAATGAAGTCTCGAAGCCTCTGTAGAATCCCATGAAACCTTTATACCGGAGAATCGGAAACACCGTCTTAAGACTTGATACATGGAAGGAGAAAATTGTTATCTGGTTTTCAATACGCTAATCGATTTTTCAGCAGTGTATAGACGATTTGGTCGGAATTAAATTCTCCATTCAGCGTACTCAAATCCATTTTTGCCACTATAGATGATCTTGATGGGTATTATGCAATACCTGTTATCATTTGTGTGCATGCAACCCTAAAATTTTGATCTATATTTTCTCTAATTGAACATATAACTTGAACAATAAAATAGAAAACGCTAGCATACTAGTATATAATCGAAATACACAATTAGGGTTAGAAGATTCATACCGTGATTGTTATATAGTAATAACAATCCAAATCCTTGTGTTGTTGAAGCCTTAAGAGCAAGCATCACAAATGTCACGCCTCTAGTGATTCACATCCAACACTAGCAAAGGAGAATCATTGAGAAGGAGGAGAGAGGCTCAAATTTTTGGCTATGTCTTCTAAAGAACAAGTGGCCGAAAATTATAGGGTTTAGGCTATTTATATAGTGCAGTCAGGAAACCCTAGATAAACTCTAATCCAATATAATCTTAAACTAGGCAGTTATCCACCTTCCTGTTTATCTACCAAAGACCATTCTAGAAACCCTTAAGCCATAAGAAAACCAGCCAAGGCCTATGAAGGGTTCTAGATTGCCTCTTGTTCAACTATTGAACAATTGCACTTCAGTCCCTACACTTTGAATTAATTCTTTTAATCCCAAAATTAATTCCAATTAATTTATGATTAAATATTAATTAAATATTACTATTTCTAATTAATATACTATCTTCAAAATATATTATTAAAATTATTTATTTCAATTTATTAATCAAATAATAAATCAACCTCTTTCTCCAAAATCATCTTATCTAGTTGTTAGTCTTGAGGGTAACCCAAAAGAACTGTGTTACTATCAATTTAAGTATATATACCAGTTATACTAATAGGCTTAGACACCTAATCCAACAGTCTCCCACTTGGATAAGTCTAATAACTATAGTTTCTAGTATAACTTCAAAAACTGATTAGCAAATTGTAGCTCTCAAAAGTCGTTGTCGAACTCTGACCTAGTCTGTTATGTGTCCTTGGATAGGTGATCATATAATCCTCTGTTCTACAAGATATCATGTAGACATGATACATGGAACATAATCAATCTTATTGTCCAATACTTTTTCCCGATTCCTGACTTGTAATGACAAAGAACTATTAATCGAACACATCAATTTAGTCCTGGTCGGGCCCGACACTATAAATCAACACTAAATCATCGAGGGGCCCAAAGATATTGCTTTTCCCCATTAAGGAAAAATGGAATAGATAAACTTTGACTTATATGCTTGTACTATTTACTAACCAAATCGTGGACAACAATATGTTTTATAACATCAAGTTACTGATGCGTTTACATATTATTAATGCACAATTGATTTGTAAACCACAACTCACATATCTCCATTTAAAGATTATAATATATTATCATCTCAGAATTACTCGTGGTTTAATCAAATACTTAAATTCTCTATTTCAAAGTACTCACCGATACTATAGCAATATCATTGCTATGTCTAAAACCCTTTAGACAACATACAATTCAATTCATGACAGTCTTGATTCACTACTTACCTCCAAAGTATGATCGACTGTAGATGTTTGAACAATCTAATTATTCGGGAAGTAAACATGCAAAATGAAACACAAAATAAACAATAGACAGAAGGTAGTTATCCAACTCATAAATAAATCTCCATTACTTAATCACCAAAAGTCAATTACATTTATTTTGTTACAAGTTTCCAAATATGTATCTAACTACTAAAACTAATATCATCCTTCAGACCAACGCTCGTAGCATGCTGAACGTGCTTGCCCTACTCAAACCCTTTGTGAGGGGATCTGTTGGATTCTCTTCTGATGACACCCTTTTCACGACGAGGTGACCTTCTTCTACTGAAATAACCTCTTTCCAAGCTTTCGTATTTCTGAAAGACCCAAACTTTCATACTTCACAATATTGTTACTCTAAAACATGCTACATGCATATTTATAAATAATATTTTACAATGATAGCGTGATTACAAAATATCGGATACAAACCGACTAAGTTTTAGTATATTACATAACTACTCAGGATATTAAAATTTATACATACATGAGTACTAAATACAAAAGTAATAGTTTTAAACTATTCTAAATCTTCCAACAGTATATGACTATACTGGATTCTCCTTACCTTCAATTGTTAAACACTGAGAGGGGTAACCGGTGACGCTTAGTGAGTTCAATAATAGATACAGTATAACGTTATGCCATATATATACTTTTATATGGCAGAAGCAAAGGGGGTACAAGGAACAACAAAGGCATATGTGAAATGCGACAAACTTTCCATATCAATTGATGACTTGATTCATTGATATACAATCAATGAGACATAACAATTTCAATACTTGATATACATCAATAAGACTTCAGCCCAAGTGGCACAGAAGACATAAAATTTCTGATTAAACATTTTGGTAGATTTCAGGCTTTCAGCCCTATCTGACCTTCTGCCAATGCCATAGGGGTAGACATCATTCTCTTGCGAGACATGCTCCACACGGCCAGAGGCTACATACCAATACCACTGTGAATCTAAGTCCTTTCACTGATCACATGGCCAAAGGTACAACTATGCTAACAAAATACCATGAAATAATAACACGGGAAAATAACATAGAGAAAGCACATAGCATATATAACACATAACATTCAATTGTTCCTATATATTGAACTCACCGTGAAATAACCGGGGGTTAAAATAGTAATTTGGGCAGCACTTCATTACTATAATTAACTTTCTTTGATGAAAACCGGGAGCTTTCTTGAAAACCGGGCCTTGCGAGGATTGAGCTTCAAACCGAAAAGATAAATTTCTCGGGGGTCTTCGGGCACTTCAGAACGTATTTCAGGTGTTGGGTATAATCCCGAGGCTTCGAGGGAAGTTGGAATTGCTTAAAATGGGTTTATGAGTGAAAAAGTGAGGATTTTCCAAAATTACCCGGGAGGTCTCACACCTCCCTTTATATAGGGGAGGCTTCGGATCCAAAGGGGAGGAGAAGGAGGGACGTGGCTCGCATGCGAGGGAGGAAGGTGGCGAGCATGCGAAGGGGGCAGGTGGCGGGTTCGAGGGGGAGACAGGTGGAAGGCACGCGTCGGATTCTGGTTGGCCGAGCCTTCGGTGCGAGGAGGGTGCGACACGGGTCGACAGCTGGCCTCGGATGACTCATCAATTTCGGACACGCGGCATGCTGCGAGCGAGGGTGACGTGGCCGATGTCTGACCATGCGAAATTCCTCGGTTTTAGTGATTTTCTTGAATTTTGTGCCCCGAACTTCTAAACTCCATAACTTTCGCATACGAGCTCAG